AAATTACATGTATTTATACTAAGCTCTTTTGAATTATAATTTTTTTTTACCTTCCTTTCATTTAAGACAACATTTTGGTGGTATGTCTCTAAATGTTTTGCCTATCTTAACTTTAACTAAGCCGTTTTAATATGTGAATATTCTATATGGCTCTGGCAGTATGATTTGGGTTATTATCCTGCTGGAAGGTGTCACAGTTTCAAGTCATCTCCAGCCTCTAACAGGTTTTCTTCAAGGATTACTTTGTGTTTCGCTTCATCTATTACCACCACCTGTGACCAACTTCCAAGTTGCTGCCAAAGAAAAGCTTCCCCACAGCATACCGCTGCCACTACCAAACATTACTGTACAATAGAGATTGTGGGCTCAGGGTATAATGTACGGTGATTGCTTTTCGCCATGCAATGTTTGGATTACGGGCTAAAATTTAACATGTTATTTCATTTAACCAGAGAGTCTTTTGTTCTTATGGATTTGCTTTGGAAAATTCAAAGAAAGACTTCTTTCTTTCAAGAAATCCTTTACAGAATTAGTAAGTTCAAATTGTAAACAGGTGGAATTTAGAATAACTTCAAAAATTAGGGGCTGAGGTCATTTAATTATTTTAAGTCCTTGTTTTCTTTGAAATTTAGGTATTTATTCACTGTTGATAGCAATGGAAAATATTAAGGTTGAACAATTGGAGGAGCTCTGTAATAATTTTACCTAACCTCAACATTTAGAACAATTGTTAACTTTCCTGGTATTTTTGTGTGTTTTAAAACAGCAAAAGGAAATATAATCAGTCTTCACATGGATCTTGAGGCCGAAACAATGTAGTAGTTGTGGATTGCAGTTCTGGAATGTGTGCTCTACAACCTGCCTGTAAGCTGCTGTGTGTCGTGACTGCTGTGAAGTGTGAGCTACTGTGTTGTACTTCTATTCAGTCTTTTCCAGGACCTCAGGGCTCAACAGCAGGCTAGCATTCTTAAGAAGTGACTGAAAAGACACTGGGCTCAAATATCTGTCAGCTGCATGTGTTTTCAAATTAAGCTCTTTTTTCTTCAGATCTAACACTTCTGACATTCTTCTTTGCCCCTGTGCTACGAGTGAATAAAAGTCATCTTTCACCTATCCCACCCAGCCAAACAAAGCGCTAGCTTTCTGCTCATTCATCTCCTACCACTGCAGCTGCTGTTTGGCATTCAACAAAAGTCACCTGAGCCAGTCTGTGTCAGGCTTTCTCAAGCTGACCTTTAGTTAATTGGTATATGGACACTGATCTTACCGTCGTTAGTTTTCTGTAAATTTCAAGCACCTGTTTTTAAATCTATAACCATGGGGCTGGAATACATTTAATATCAGAGAATCAGAGAAAGAATTACAACAAAACCATTGTTGATATTCTAAGGGGATACCAATCCTTTCTCTACAGTAAATTGCAGTTTGTTTTCAGCTATTCATTCAGCTACAGTGGTGTAAATTAAATAAATGCTGATGCTGTTGTAAGTTTAACTGTATTTTACGGTGTATTTTACAACATCATTTAACTAGTTAGGTAAAAAATCTGAAACATTCATAATGTAGATAGTTCACAATTTGGAGGGTTTATACTCTGAGTGTAAGAACTTTGGAAATCTAAAATAAGAAATGTAAAAAATTAAGAACGAAAAAAATTTTTGGGGAGTTTTAGGGAAAAATCCAGATGTATGCATTGGTCAATGATTTGTTATAGATATATATAATAATAATTTAAAACATAGTCAAATATAAATGAATTTATAAAATAACATAAAAATTATATATTTTTGGTAGAGTAAGCTGAGGATGAGTTGTAGTAAGATTTCTTCTGTGTATTTTTCTGGGCTCATTGACAGTTATTTTAACTTAGCATGTCTAATATTGTAATTAGAAATTTGGGATGCCAGTATTATTTTGGGGGAAAAGAAAATGACAGAAGTCTGTACCTCTACTTACTCTTTTTCAAACAGTCTGTTTGCCTGACTAATACGTTTTTCTCATGGAAACAACTTGTATACAATGTTAAGACATGAATGTCCTTACAAACAATATATATATCGAAAGCCTAATTAAATTCAACCTTTTTTTATTGATCTCAAAGGGAAATTAAATAAATATATGTTTAGTGTGCACACCGACCAAATGCTTATTATTCTAATAGTTACATTTTGGCCAGAAGTTTGTTAGAATTAATATCAAACAAAATGTTTAAATCTTTTGAAATATAAAAAAAAAGAGCAGTAAGTGCTGTTGCAACCTAACATGCTAAAATATTTTATTTATCTGCCATCTGTTGTTTCCCTTTTAAAAGATTTTATTCAAAAGATTATTTTTAAGGCTCTGAAAAAAAATATTTTAATGTGCAATTTTAACATCAGTTTGGAATAAGCAGTATTTCTGGGAGAAAAAAAATGTAACTAATTTAAAAAAAAGTGAAATTGGAGGATTTGAGGAATCTAATGAACTTAAAACATGCAAAGATAAAATAAAAACCATATACAGAAAAAACATAAGTGTTAAATGTGAAAGTTTAAATCAGTCAGAATCAGAATATGAAATACTTTAATAATCCCAGACGGATATTACTTTTGTTACATGCTCCAGATAAAGTCTTAACATTTAGTTGTTTATTAGTTGAAATCATTATTAGATTTCCATCCATCCATCCATCCATCCATCCATCCATCCATCCATCCATCCATCCATCCATCCATCCATCCATCCATCCATCCATCCATCCATCCATCCATCCATCCATCTTCTTCCGCTTATCCGGGGTGGGGTTGCAGGGATAGCAGATTCATTGGGGAGGATCAGACGTTCCCTTCTCCCCAGCCACTTAGGCCAGCTCCTCACCCTATAACTAAGGGAGAGCCCGGACACACTATGGTGAAAACTCATATTAGCTGCTTTTGGTGATGACCCAAAGCTCATGACCATAGATGAGAGTAGGAACGTAGATCGACTGGTAAATCCAGAGCTTTGCTTTTTTGCTCAGCTCTCTCTTCACCACAACAGACCGGTACAGAGCACGCTTCACAGCAGACGCCGTACCAATCCGCCTATTGATCTCCCGCTTCACCTTCCCCTCATTTGTCAACATTATTAGATTTACTTTGATAAATGGGGGCTGTGCAAAAGCAAACTTATTATTAATTTTCCTTAAACTGTTAGAAAAACTGATACTAAAATAATGGATTACTCAGACAGTTCAATATTAATTCAGGGGATTACTGGTTTAATCAGTTAATGTCTGTAAAATCCTAATGTATGTCAGACAATAAGACCAAATTATTACAGGTAATCTTTTGTTGCATCTTTTCCTGTAAAATGCTCCACATAGAATAGAATAGAATAGAATAGAATAGAATAGGACAGAAAATCCCTTAATTGTCCCACAATGGGGAAATTCTGGTGTTTACAGCAGCAAAAAGTTTATAGAAAAAATTGTCACACAAATGTGGACCTTAGAAAAATGTATAAGAATAACATAACAGTGAAGAGTTAAACGATAAACAATAACAATTCATAGGTATTATGAAAAGACAAAAATGTTTTGCTCAACAAAACAAAATACAGTTGAGAAAGGGTAAAGGTTTTCTGATAAGAAAGAAAATAGCATTAATAACTGATTTAATCTGTGCTCAGAGACCATAGTTTAACACTGTTGCATTCCTCCGTGAGACAAAGACACATAGAAAACTCCCAGTTGTTCATGGCATTCACATGACTTTACTCATATAATGGGCCTTGCTGTGAAATGGATTGTAATTCAGTCTGAGAGATTCATCTGCTATAATGAAGTGGATTACAGAATGGCCTCATGGCTCTGAAGTGCTGCTGTTTATAGCTATTTGAGGTGCTGAATTGCTGTTTAAAAATACTTTAGTTAAGAAAAAACTGAAACAGTTTATTGTTAATGCAATTACCAGATTTTCAATGTTGAAGAATCCACAGTGAAGTGCATTCTTTTCCACATTTAGCATGTTTTATCAGTTTTGTTTTCAAATTGGTAAATTATCTAAAAGCTCTCTGTTGTTTAAGAAAAAAAACAATCACTGATTTTATAAAAAAAAAAAGGGACATCAGTACCCTGAGATTAGCATGGATGTTTACCATAAAAGGTCTTAAAAAAATATGTAAAGCCTAGTACATTGACTAAGTTCATACAGCACTTTACATTATGCCCACGTCCAGCCACATTCTTATGCATTTATGCAGCTTTAGGTTAGATGTCTTACCTGGGGGCATATCCACCTGTGACAGGAGGAAAGTGGACACACAACCTTTTGATCTCAAGCCAAAGTATTCTTATCTTTTTTCCCCTTTTTTCATGATATGACCACAAACATGGGCTTGTATATGACAGGTCAAGACAGTTTCACACAATTATTAAGAAATGTATTGAATGTATTTAAAAATGTAAAGGAGAAAAAATATAGCATTTTTATTCCTTGCTTTTATGGTCAAGATTAGTGGTCTGGTGAGGCTAAACTGTAACCTTTTGGCCTATATGCAGAAAAGCTTTGTGTGGCAGGAAAAGTGAACCTTATTTCAAAGATGCTTTCTCTTAGTTGAAACATGATAGTGGCAATGTCATGCACTGGGTATGCTCTTCTTTAGCAGGGACAGCGAAGCCAGTTTGGAACGATGGATGCAGCTAATAAAAGGGAATCCTGAAAAACATGTAAATTTGCTATAAGACAAAGTTCTAACACCAGTTTCTCTTTAAACTGTTTTTAGACCAGTCTGTTTGCTGGTTGCTTTCAGTCAAGCAATACAAAATGTAAGCCTTGTGAAAATTAATAGGGATTTTTTGTTCTTGAGAAGTCATTTTTGTTCTATTCCATATATCCCTTCACAGATTTAAGAAAAGTGCAGCTTTATCATCCCCACACATCCTCGGTCTCAGCGGCTTAGTTGGTCCTCTATTAAAGACCCTCCTCTTCAGGCCCAGCCGTCAGCCTCTCCTGTGAAGGAGCTCCTTTGTTCCAGCAACTATGCCAAAGAACACCAAGGTGACTCAGCGGGAGCACAGCAATGAGGCCGTCACTGAGTCTGTGGCTGACCTTCTGTCCCTGGAGCATCCCATGGACTATAAGAGCAGTCAGATGAGTATGGGGCTCAGTCCTGGATCCACTGCCCCAGGAAGGTCCCTGCTCCCTGAACAAGACTTAGAGGATGGCCGACCTGCATGGAACAACAAGTTGGAGTACATTCTTGCTCAAGTGGGCTTCTCAGTTGGTCTGGGAAATGTTTGGAGATTTCCCTACCTGTGCCAGAAGAACGGTGGAGGTAAGTAGAAAATGGATGTGTGCCAGCTCCTGTTTTCTTTTTATTAAATAACACTTTCCCGAATTTTGAATTGCCATAATTTCTGGTTTAGTTTCAGCTTAGTTGAAACAAGCATATTCGGACTTTAACATGATGCCTTTTACTGGTTCTGTAAAATCCATAGACGGGACACCATTTCAATTTGCTGTTTAAATGTTGGTTTATCGCTTATGGTAAATTCTGAAACTATTCAGCTGTGATTTGAAAAGTATTCTCACATGTTAATAAAAAAATGGTAAACACTATCTGTTTAGTTTTATAAAACATTATTTTACAAAAAAATATTTACAGATTTATGCGGCTACAGGAAATGTGCCTCTTATCTCTTAAATTATCTGTTTATGCTAGAATTCATATGATGATTTTAGACTAATTCAATGATCTTATTTAAAACACACATTTCTAGAATATCTATAATAAAATACAGATTTAAAGGAATAGTACACCCAAAACATGATTAGCCTTCATTTTCTACTCACCCCCATGCTGAACAAAACTCTGGAGTACTTTTTTGATATCTCAAATGCATCTGGAGTTCTGGGAGGCTTCTTGCTGTCTGCTGACATTCAAATAATGGAGGTCTATGGTGACCGAGACAGAAAGGTCCATAAAAGTCCACAAAAACGTGTCAATATTCCTCCATACTGCTCGTCCAATGTAATCCAAGTGTCCTGAGTGGGTAGCATCCAGAATTTACTCGAAACGAAGTCATTTAGAACGTTTTAGAGCCTAAACAGTAGTGTATAGGATTTCCTAATAGCGCCCCCATGCGCGCTCACGATTCTACGGAAGCCGGCAGACCAAACCAGCGCATTCAGCTCGGCAAAGAACTCATGCTCTTCCTCAACACTGAAGTCCTCAGGCATTTTTCTTTCGTTGTTTCTTTCTTTGCACAGGTAAACAGCACATTTCTTCTTCTACGCTTGCATTATCGGCAGAGCAGACGCTGAATGCGCACTTTCTTCCGGTTTGGTCTGCCGGCTTCCGTAGAATCGTGAGCGCGCATGGGGGCGCTATTAGGAAATCCTATACACTACTGTTTAGGCTCTAAAACGTTCTAAATGACTTCGTTTCGAGTAAATTCTGGATGCTACCCACTCAGGACACTTGGATTACATTGGACGAGCAGTATGGAGGAATATTGACACGTTTTTGTGGACTTTTATGGACCTTTCTGTCTCGGTCACCATAGACCTCCATTATTTGAATGTCGGCAGACAGCAAGAAGCCTCCCAGATCTCCAGATGCATTTGAGATATCAAAAAAGTACTCCAGAGTTTTGTTCAGCATGGGGGTGAGTAGAAAATGAATGCTAATCATGTTTTGGGTGTACTATTCCTTTAATTCTGTCTAATGTTATCAAATGTAGAGGATTTATTAAATCTTAATCCTCCAAAATGACAGTCCAAAATCTATAGGAGTTTATCCAAAATAGATCAGTCTATATCACTTCCTACTGAAAAATGGAAGTTGATTTAACAATTATGCTTAAACAAAATTGTTGGTCTAAAATCTTTTAGAGAACCTTTACCATGACTAGAAATCCTAATTAACAACTCATTTAATATAAAATCCTTTATACAGTACACTATCTAGGTCAGCGGATGTTTAAGATGGGTTTTGCACAGCCTGATATCTGCTTGCAATGCTCAGGTTATGCACCAGATTGGTAGCCCCAGGGTGGGACTCCTGGAGGCTGGGTAGATGGTCTTGCAGGAATCTGTGTCAGCGGACATGGTTTACCGGCCCTCTGGCTGTTTTGATGGATCTGGGGTGGGGTCCCTGCTGGTGGTTGTCGGCTTGTTTCTGAACCAATGTGGTGCCTAGCCCACTCTGGGGTCCAACGGGGCCCCTGCTGGCACTGGGGGCATTGATCTGGTGAGGAACATCCTTTATGCATTATCTTGCAGGTGTTCTTCCCTAAAGAGCACACCATCAGTAAGGGAGTGGAGGGAGGGATATCTAAAAAATAAATTATTTGTCAATGTATTTAATGAAGAATTTGTTCTATATGAAATAATCTCCAGAGGTTCTAGAAGATTGCCTAGAACAGAGCCAGTCTTATTTATCAGCTAGTTGAGCTTCATGATTTGATCTGATGCTGTTACTCCAGCAAATGAAGGCAGAAGTGATCGCCCTCTCTACAATAGAGTTATGGAAGATATGCAGCATCATGCTGCAAACACTGAAGGACCTAAGCTCTCGTACAATCTGCTGTGTCCTTTCTTTTAGACGGCTGGATTTTCTGGAGTTTCTCACAAAGTAAGCCAGGCTGAATCATGTTAAATGCACTGGAGAAATCAAAGAACATGATCCTCACAGTACTGTCTGCCTTGTCTAAATGACACTGGGTTTGTTGAAGCAGGTGTACGATGGCAGCTTCAACTCCATGATGATAAGCAAACTGCGGGGGGTCCTGATAACTGCTTGCTCATTTGCTGAAGTGAACCAACAGAAGCTTCTCTAGGACCTTCATGATGTGGGATGTCAGGGCAAACCGGTCATTATTGATTGTGGGCTGACTTTTCTTTGGTACCAAAACACCATAGCAGATCTTGAGCAATTTGCTTTGACAAATGTATAATGTGCAATTACTATTTGATACCCTGTGCAATAACTTGTTTCTCTATGTTTGACATCCAGTGCAATAACCATATATATATATGTATATAAATATCCATCTATATAAATACCCATGTAAACACCCTGTGCAATAACCCTGTATAATAATCCTACTATAAAAAGAAAGATGCCATATGTGGACACACTGTATATATCCCATGCACCTTTTTCTTCCTTTGGCACATTCTTCTTCTCCTTTGACTATTTAAGCTGATGTAACGAGTACATTTCTCCACTGTAAGATCAATAAATTCAATTAATCAATCAATCAATCTTCCACATCGCTGGAACTGTGATGAACACTGTCAGGCTAACGTTAAAGATGTGCTGTAGAATCACACAGAGCTGCTCTGCACAGGACGTCAGAACTCTGGGGCTGACACCATCTGGACCTGGTGACTTATTATGATCCAGTCTCTCCAGTTGCTTTTTCACTTGACTTCTATCATTCTGTTTTTAAATTATGAAGTTTAAATAATAACCCTCAAGGAAACAATGAACTCTTGGAAGTAGCAGAGAAAAAGTCCAAACAGATACACAAATTTGAAACCAAAAACTCAAAGAACCAAAAATATTGGCAATAAATATTCTTTTAATTTATTTGTGGTGACAGGAGCTTAGCATGCATGAAAGTGTTTGTCATGTAATTGGCGGGTTGCCACTAGTCTGAGTCTCTGCTCTCTCTCCCTCTGACCTTAAATCCTTGGGCAAGACATTTCAGCTGCCCTCCCTGCTGTCTGTGATCTGAAGACTGGACAGCACTGATTTCTTGGCAGCCTCGTTTCTGTCAGTCTGCCCCAGGGCAGCTGTGGTTTGCCAGCATCAATGTGTGAATGTGTATGTCCTCTGATCTGAAAATCACTGCATAAAAACAGGTCCTTTACCATTTATTTTACTAATTACGAACAATGAACAGTGTAAAACATACTTAGCAGGTAAGAAAAGGGAGTTGGTCCATCAAAAACAGTAAAGAACGAGCATCATTACACACTCCGTAATGACCAGAACAAATATATATAAAATGCTTAATTGGCTAAAAAGTCATCTTACTTTTCATTTATATTCTAAGGTGCATCACTAGTGCATAAGCAGAGCTTGTAAATCTTTTCATCATATACCATTTTGGACTCAAATTCACCATCTCTTTTACACTCTAAGCTCAGATGAAGTCTAAAAATATAAACATTCGAACTACAAATGGATAATAATGAAAATCTGGTAAGATGTTTGATTTATGGCAGCTTTGCATTTTAAGCTGGAAATCTGATACTTAATCTCACATCAGCCACCTGTGGTGTGCAACTTATGTTTGAGTGCTTTAAATGTACAGACAGTGGTTGTGGGCCTCTTGCCATTGACTGGAGTTTGCCAGGGAATGACTGTATTGGCCAGGCTCCCTGGACAGAAAGCCATACCAGCCAACTATAATCTCAGCCTTAAATCTGAACCCATTGTGTAGCTTAAAATGATGGAGCCTGATCTTCAGTTGTTAAAAAAGGAACTTTTGCAAAACAAAAATGCACATGCAGTGAGTGAGATATTGGAGATTTGAAAAGATGCCTACAAAGTGCCGAAGTGATTTTGGAGAGCAGGTCATTAAAAAAGGTTAAGTTCAAATTAATAATGATCATAATTATATATCTATATAAATAAGGATAACATAATTTTAGTTGAGGCCTGTCTCATGAGTTTATTTTTTTAATTCCTTCTGTTTAAGCAGGGTTGCAAATCAATGTCTGACTCTCATCTTTTTCATTTTCATAGGAGTTTCTTTTTTACTTTTCTCAGATTCTAGTCATTTTTGTGACCGATGTGAGTTTTTTTTTTACACTTAACAAGGAGTACCAACAATTTTGTCCATGTGTGTAGTTAGCAGACCACCTTTGCAGACATTATAAAGTTTGCAACTTTTTTTATACAGGAAAACCCTTTGAAGATCAGACCCTTAGATGGATATGTTTATTGTATAGTTTAACATATTGATTGCTCAGTGAAATCTTGCTTTGTCCAAGGAAAGTAGACTTGTGAGTTGTTGAAGGCCTAAGGTCCTGGTTGAAGGTTGTTGACTATTTCCCAGGTTGCTCTGCTATTGGTGTTTTACTTAATGGTATAAGGGAGGATTTTCGTGAATTTTTGAAAAGACCCGCCCTCTCCACTTAAAAAAAAAGCACATGAACAACCCTGTACCCGCTCCCGAGAGGGGATGCCTATTAAACGTATAAGAGCACACATAAGCCCATTTCTCCTTGTGCACGCTCTGTTAAAAAGTTTCTCTTCTCATAACTCATACAAGCTAACTTTCCAAAAGAAGATTTGCAATTTCTCCGCTATGTCAATCTCACCACCAGTAAGTGAAAATTGGGATCAGGATGTAGGACATATCACAATTACGATTGACAATTAGGAGGACCACTTATTTTGATGATCCAAACTTAAAAAGAACATCCTCCACTATACCTTTAAGATTTGGCCCAGCTTGGACTGAATTAATTGGTGTTAGTAGCATAAAAATAAAATGTATTCCAGCAAAAAGAACATAAACATTTGGACTGTTTTCTGTTATTGTTCTGTGTGAAATTACACCTGACACACACAGAGAAACCACTCTCACCAAGCCCACGCTGCAGGCTATACAGCATTTGTCTGAATTAGTCAACATGCAGCCTCAGCAGCAATGAGATTAGACCTTTAATCCACAATGAGATGAGGAGGCACAGATACATTTGCCTAAAAACCCTCATTCTATTATAGTTCTCTTAGAATCTTGCCTTTTGAAGCTTGATTTACTGCTATTAAAATGAAGTGTGAAAGTGGCGATGACTAAGAAGGAAGTTCAAGAATAAATATAAATGCTCCCGGTTTTTAGGTGGTGTTGATCTCTTGTGTGGGATGATGTTACATGAATTGTGGCTTAGCGTTTCTTAATATGTTCACATTTAAACAGTTCCTACCAGAAGGCTGACTCAGTTAAAGGTGTTTTATCATCCTCATTTGTTTAAACGATAAGTAGGATAAGGAAACTTTAACTCACCCTAAATATCACCCTATGCTACAGCTTTAAAACATTGTGCTATATTACTGGTCATATCATGTTTGATGTAGAGGTAAGATTTTTAGTGAGAGAAAGTAAAAGAATATGTAGCCAGTAGTCTAGCTGTATAAAAAAAGAAAGGGGATGGTGGAATTTTTTTTTATTTTTGGAAGCACACTTAGCCTAATAGCCTAATAAATATAGTCTATTAACCTTGAGTAATATGCAGGGTATGCAGACATTTCGCTTCCCATCCAGGAAGCTTTTTGAATTCAAAATGTCTGAATTAGCATTGGGTTTGAGGGTGATTGTTGGCCTGGCTAAATAGTCCTCCACTCTCCTGTACAGGGGCTGGGGCTGCTGGGGCTGTACAGGAGAGCGGACGACCTCTTCTATTCAGCCAGGCCAACAATCACCTTTAACGACCCTGTGTAAAGTTCCTTATCAGTTTTAAGGAAAACTAATAAGGAACTTTATACAGGTATTCTTATAGGAAAATGTGTGTTCTTTACATTTGTTGGAGGTCGTGTGTATGTTATGTGGTCCAATGTGTTTCTACTATGATTATTAGAATGATGCTGCAGGACAATATTCATCAAAGTATTATTTAATCATTTTTCTCTTAAATTAATATGTTTAGTCGATGGGAACAGGATGGTTTGTTTAAAGGGGGTTGAGATACATAGTGGTTTGGATAAAATGGTAAAGGGGTCAATTTGAATTCATTGAGGGTTTTTTTGTGATTTGAGTTCTATGATTTCTCTGCATGATTTCAGAGAAAAATGTAGAGATACATTTTCTTGTGATATTCATTAAGAAAAGCCTATATTTTTCCTACTTTTGTCTATCAGGCTTTATCATAACCAACACAGTTATCATTTAAAGCATACTTTTGCACCAGCAGTAGTACCGTACTTCATATTTGGAGTCTTTCAAGATCAGTCCCATTAATGATAAAGGAATGGTGACTGCATTCAATTACATTGTGCACCAGTGAACTATGATAAGAACAGAATTCAAAAAATGATGCAACATGTTGTCAAAACTGGCCCAAACTAAAGCATGCCACCTGCAAATCTTTTTTTGATTAGATGGTTTCTCTTCTTATTTAAATAGCAGTTTTTAGAAGACCAAAACTTGTCAACTCCTATTTTAACATTATGTCAAAAGCTATATCTAATAAATATCTACATTACTAGTCAAATAAATGGTTTAATTCATGTGTAGAACTGCTACTGAGCTGACTAAGACATAGTGAGAAAAATATTTTTTGTTCTCCTTTGTTACACATTGCCTTACCTCTCTTCATTATGCCTGTTTAGTGGAGTATCAATTATAATAAATAAGATTCAGTATCAAAGCCAAATATAACACTCTCCTGCTCACCGTATCAGAATGATACTGTTATTAGAATTAGTTTCAGATCAAACGAAAATGATTTTTTTCAGACTGCTGTCTCTCTCTGCGAACCATTTCTCTGGCTTCAGATACTTCTGTCACCATGGTGCCTCTTCATTTCTTGACGTAAGCAGGACGAGATGTGATTTGATGTCTGCGACAGCCGTCTGTTCTGCATTTCCCTTCTCGAAAAATGAATGTCATGATGAAGAGTTGAGAAATATTGCTAATGTTAGAGTAAATAAAGTGTTGTAGTAAAAAGAATGTGGTAAAAAAAAAGACCAAGCATTGTTTTATCTGATGCTTTTGAAGGAGGATAAATTGTGAAATTACTGCTATAATTTAATCTTTCTCTGTGTTAGGTGCATACCTGGTGCCCTACTTCATCCTCCTTCTCCTCATTGGGATCCCTTTGTTTTTCCTGGAGTTGGCAGTGGGTCAGAGGATCAGGCGTGGAAGTATCGGTGTGTGGAACTACGTCTACCCAAAGCTGGGGGGCATTGGGGTTTCTAGCCTCATGGTAAGTATGTTATGTCAATAAAATTAACTTAGGATAGATTATCACTCTCCACAACACAAGAATCAGATGTTTAATTTGATTTAGTTGAATACTTTTATATACTCCCAATTTCCCAACTTTTCTTACAATATTGAAAACTGTTTAGGGAGTAAAACCATTTACAGCACACACACAGACGGAAAGAGAGGTCGGAAAAAAGAGGCGATAGGAACTAGGAGGAGAGGGAAAGTGATAGAGACAGGAAAGAGTGCATAAAAAGAGAGCAAATAAAGCAAAAACAGACAACAGAGAATATATACAGTAACTCCTAGAAGTCTGCTTCCATGCCTGCATGAGATTAGAGGAGCACAAAACAGTGAGAATAGCAGCAAATACAAGAAAAAGGACAACAAAAAAATGCTTTAATGAACATTAGCTCTCCCTTAGATTTCCATGTGTGCCTAAGATATATATATATATATATATATATATATATAGATTTACAAAAATTCTTTGGAAGGAAAATCAATAGCAGGTGAATCTGTATAGCAGCCAGACTCGCCTTACAGCGCCTCAGGATTGATAAAGAGGGAATGTGAGCCCCAAATGTCAAAAGGCACCCCAGATCACTGGGAAACAAGGAGGGCAGACATAGGGATGCCCACACCCACCAGTGAAGGGCAGAAGAGAACACCTGGAGCCCGACCCCCCGAGGGGTCAAACACCAAAGGGGCCCAGTCACAGGGATTAAGGGCAAAATAGCTTGACTGTTCTTCAGTGATTCGGTAAATAAACATTGCTCCCTTTTCGATATCTAGCTCTCCGTCTGGAGGAAGAGTTTAGGGACACAGATTTCAAATTACTTGCATAGTGTAAAGTTTGAACACTTGGTGTGGACTGGTGGAATCTGTTGGTCCTCTAGGTTGTCTTAGTTATAGAGTCAATAAAGTAGCATTAACTCAACAAACTATCACCAAAGTTAAAATTAGGGGTATAGAGAGTAAAGCAACTCCTAGAAGTACTTTTTTAAAATGTAAATGTAATCATTTAACTACCTGCTTCAGTTTTTTTTTCTATGTTGGTATTTTAGAGTCAAAACCTGGTGTTTTAATTACACAATCCCTCTTTAAAATAATGCTCAATCATTTTAGGAGAAAAAAAATTAAATAGATCGAAAATTTCACTTCCCTTTTTTATCATATATGCACAAGAATTGGACTTGTGTTTAAACAGATCCATGTGGGTGTAGTGTTAGCAACATTAGCAGTTTGCTAGAGTTCATATACCCTAGTTTCCCAGTCTCTTACCCAATAGGTAAAAAATTACACAAGCAGCAACACTTGGCGGCTATCAGCATTTGAGTCTCCGAATAAAAATTTTGGTGGAACAGGTAATATTAGTGCCCTTCCGAAATTCCTGTCATGAGGACAGACATTGTGCTTTTTGGAGCATGATTTGGGCTTTTCTGGTTTTGAACAAAGAGCCTATCCGAAAATACATAGCCATACATACACTATATTGCCAAAAGTATTTGCTCACCTGCCTTGACTCACATATGAGCTTAAGTGACATCCCGTTCCTAATCCATAAGGTTCAATATGACGTCGGTCCACCCTTTGCAGCTAGAACAGCTTCAACTCTTCTGGGAAGGCTGTCCACAAGGTTTAGGAGTGTGTTTATGGGAATTTTTGACCATTCTTCCAGAAGCGCATTTGTGAGGTCGCACACTGATGTTGGACGAGAAGGCCTGGCTCTCAGTCTCCGCTCTAATTCATCCCAAAGGTGTTCTATCGGGTTGAGGTCAGGACTCTGTGCAGGCCAGTCAAGTTCATCCACACCAGACTCTGTCATCCATGTCTTTATGGACCTTGCTTTGTGCACTGGTGCACAGTCATGTTGGAAGAGGAAGGGGCCAGCTCCAAACTGTTCCCACAAAGTTTGGAGCATGGAATTGTCCAAAATGTCTTGGTATGCTGAAGCATTCAGAGTTCCTTTCACTGGAACTAAGGGGCCAAGCCCAGCTCCTGAAAAACAACCCCACACCATAATCCCCCCTCCACCAAACTTTACACTTGGCACAATGCAGTCAGACAAGTACCGTTCTCCTGGCAACCGCCAAACCCAGACCCGTCCATCAGATTGCCAGATGGAGAAGCGCGATTCGTCACTCCAGAGAACGCGTCTCCACTGCTCTAGAGTCCAGTGGCGGCGTGCTTTACACCACCGCATCCGACGCTTTGCATTGCACTTGGTGATGTATGGCTTGGATGCAGCTGCTCGACCATGGAAACCCATTCCATGAAGCTCTCTGCGCACTGTTCTTGAGCTAATCTGAAGGCCACATGAAGTTTGGAGGTCTGTAGTGATTGACTCTGCAGAAAGTTGGCGACCTCTTCGCACTATGCGCGTCAGCATCCGCTGACCCCGCTCCGTCAGTTTACGTGGCCTACCACTTCGTGGCTGAGTTGCTGTCGTTCCCAAACACTTCCATTTTCTTATAATACAGCTGACAGTTGACTGTGGAATATTTAGGAGCGAGGAAATTTCACGACTGGATTTGTTGCACAGGTGGCATCCTATCACAGTTCCACGCTGGAATTCACTGAGCTCCTGAGAGCGACCCATTCTTTCACAAATGTTTGTAAAAACAGTCTGCATGCCTAGGTGCTTGAATTTATACACCTGTGGCCATGGAAGTGATTGGAACACCTGATTCCAATAATTTGGATGGGTGAGCAAATACTTTTGGCAATATAGTGTAGCAATCCAAATTTTCCATCAGATTTCAATTGAAGTCCTACACACATTTTCACATGAAAATATACCGATTAATGTATCTTCTAGAAACCTATAAGGGATATTCTTTATGCTCTCTGCATGTATGTATATTTGCTCCTGAAAGATGTACAATACAAGTATAGCATGCCCCTCACAACTAGTTGTGCTTCTTCAAATGAACTGCTGTTGCTTTAAGCTATATAAAAACAGCCTCCATCAGTGATCTCTGCCATAGCATGTCCTCATTATCAAGAGTATTGACCCACAATGTCCCCATCACATTATCGTCAGCAGCTTAAAACAGCCTGTCGGCACCTGCATCCCTCAGTCAGTGAGTCTTCAGCGTGTGCCAGTCATCCATTCAATCCAGACAGAAATTTCATCAGTCTAATGTAAACGAAAGGGATGTGGATCTGTGGCTGGGGGCAGTGAGGCGTGTGGCAGCTCAGATGTGAGGGAGCTTGTGCGGCTATAAATACTACCTCTTTGAGGACCACAGCCTTGGCGGCTGAAAGCAAACAGTTCAATAATTCATACCGACTTCGTCTTAAGCTGATGTGTGCTGTGTGGGCCTGCATCCTGACTACCCTCGCCACACTGTGGACTGTTTGATTAATGCACCTTTCTGATGTCTTTCTCCTGTCCCCACAGGTGTGCGGGTTTGTTGGCCTCTATTATAATGTAATTATCGGCTGGAGTATCTTCTATTTCTTCCAGTCGTTTCAGTATCCGCTGCCTTGGGCTGAATGCCCTATCAAGAAAAATGGAACCCAAGCCAGTGAGTTTTTCACACAAATACACAATGCAGAAATTTAAACATCCACATTTAATTTCTACTTACTTACTGAGAAGCTATTCAGAAGTCCAAATATAGAGGAAAAAGATCAGAAATGGATCTCTAAAGGCTATTTCATCATGTAAGGTTCAGGAATGTAGTGTTCAGCGTCAAGGAGGACGGGAAGCCTGAGTTTAATCTATATCATAAGAAACAATGGGCAGAAAAAAATTCTAAATATGCTCAATTGGTAGATACCCAGACAGATAGACACCCCAAAGACTTGAACTCATTGCAAAATTGTGGTTACATAAGATTTTAACTGAGGGGATGCTAAAGAGACATTACCTAAGTTTTCACACAAAATATCCTTTTAATTTGACCTTTTATGACTAAAAGATGTTTGATGAGCAGACTGACCTTAATAGTTCAACCTGTAGCATATTTTCCTGAATTTAGTTCAGGTCCGAAGTTCCCACTGTCATGATGGGTTTTAAGGATCTGACCCACATGCAGAGACACACTCAGACGCCAAGGGTAAAAGTTAACAGGTTTATTGGGGATAGCAAAAACACAGACTGAGAGATATACAGCTAGGTAACACAGTTGGATTACAATGATCAGTTCAGGGAACGTATGAAAAAAGGCTGAGGCCTGAAATTTGCAGGAGAGGCACTCACGTTTAGGGGGCTCTTGGTGAATCTTTGGATCCAGTTTGTGGGGCTTAATCCTGAGATTAAAGAACTCGTTGGAGGGCGGACAGGCAGACTAATGTTGGATCCAGAGGAGTATTGGAGCGGACTGTCACCGGGTTTTCCTGAAAGTGGACTTGAACGGATCATGTGGAGGTTTCCCCTTGCTCAATGTGACTCAGTTTATCCTTCCAAGGGAGTAGAAGGAAGGCTTCCTTCCGGAGATCAAAAGACAAAGGCAAGCTTAGACTCAGAGAGACAGGGCTAAGGTTAGACTCTGCTAATCTAAGTTTGGCCAGAGTACCCAATACTGGCAAACACTCTGGCGTCGAGGTGGTGACAGCCCGCTGCTCAAGTACTCCTCCGGTCATGACCCAACGAGCTGCAGGTGTGCAGAGAGGCCCAACGAGTGCAGGGCACCGCCTTGTGGTGGAGAGAGAAAAACACAAAAAACTACCCACACAAACTGGAATCCTAACACCCATGCTGTACGGTGGATAAGATGTGAAGCGCATCAATGTTAAATGGGTCTGACCTAGCAAACAATAAAAGCGTTATATTCAAGATGAATTTTGTGGATACTCAGAAGATACTCAGACACCAGTGGCAAAACCACATAAGGTGAATAAGTAAAAAAGATAAACTTGTTTAGCATGAACAAACCTTGCAGTTCTGAGATTTGGCCATAGGTGACAATATCATTAGGAAACTCAATAATGCCTCTTGAAAAGCACATTGTGTAACTTTTGACCACTAGGGGTGCTAGACCTGTACGTTTCATGTCTAGCGCCCCTAGTGGCAACATGTACTGTAGCACTGCCAGAAAAGACAACAAACAATCCTGTATCTTTTAATTTGGGGACCGCGCTAGGCATCTAGGTTCAGCTCGGAGGGTGTTAGAAACGCTGCTGCGCTCTAAAGAGCTTTGCCAGGGCAGGCTGGACTGCGCTGAGGATCAGCGGCGGAGCTCCAGTGAAGAGCGACTGGGTTGGACGGGTGTCTCGGTTGGCTTTTGTTTGTAGCCTGCTAGCTTTCTCTGCCCCATTTTGCTTCTGCTAAACATCGAAAATAATAAAAAAGATATATGACTGTATACTAGGAGCAAAGTGTTAACTTACCAGTCTAATAATAAAGTTTAGAAAAGGGAAACTCCTCTCCAAGATCGACTCTTGTTTTTCCTCATGCATGATCCCTTTTACGTTTTTCTCTTCAGCCTCTTCAGAAGGTTTAAACTTTTTCTTTACTTCAACCATAATCAGTAGTCGAGGAGGCAGAAAAATTGTAGAGCAAAAGCTTTAGCTCCATGACTATATAAGAGCCTGCGGCTATAAAGCGAGGATACGTTCTTCTAGGTCACCTGGCCAATGACGGTGCATCTTCTCCCAACTTACATAGTCAGTATTTCAAGAGAGGAGCCTGCTTGTAGCAATGATAGTGTCAAGCGCTGTATATTAGCCTGAGGAATCATTTAAAATAACTCCTATGTGTCAACTGTTCAGGGTACAAAATCCGTGATATGCCTTCAAATTACAACACACTTTTCTGATTTAAGTTTAAAGAAATGCTAGGCAAATCTTTTTGCCTTTTAAAACAATAACTTTTTAACTGGTCTTTCACATAAAATCTAATCAAATTAGACAAAGGATTTGGGTCATGATGTGTCAAAATATGACAAATATCAATGCCTCCAATGCTTATCAGTAAATATAATTTTCTACATAATTTGTAAATGTATAAAGATTATTTTCTCTGTTTTGGTTTTTCAGCTTTTTCCTGTTGCTGCCTTATTCTTACATGTCTTTTAGTTCAGTATGTATCACTCTAAGTGTTGCCTCTGTCATCCCTTTTTTAATCTCTTGTGGCCGTTCCAGTTGTGGAGCCTGAATGTGAGAAGAGCTCAGCTACCACCTATTTCTGGTACCGCCAGACTCTGAACATCACCAGCACAATTGACGACACCGGTGGCCTGAACTGGAAGATGACCCTGTCCCTGCTAGTGGCTTGGATCTTGGTCTGCCTGGCCGTTATCAAGGGCATCCAGTCCTCTGGGAAGGTATGCCGTTTTTGTGGCTTCCCTGAACCCACAGCCTCCATACATTCATAACTTTTTTTTTTTTCCCACATGCAAAGAATAAAAATATAATGATAGTACATAAAGATAACATATAACAAAAGCTTCCTTTTTAGATTTTTTTTTTATAACTGCTTTATCCGTATCTATGAGGGCATTTCTGACTTTGCTTTTGGGTCAAAGGTAAAAACTAAGCCGTTTTATCCACTTGTGTCTATTTTTGGAACTAATCTAGGTTATGAAACCAAGAGAAATTAAACATTGATAATCTTAAACTGAACCAAGGAACAGCTGTAATGAACAATGCTGTGCTTTCAGGCCAAAATATGAGTCATCCAGCATATCTCTTTACTAAATCCAACTCAGTTCTGACACATAAAAAAAAAAAAAAAACAGTGCCTGGTGATCCAGTTCTCAGAGCTTTAACGAGTCCCTGATATGCTGTGGGAAGGATTTTCTCTTCCATGGGCTCATCTCACAGATTTGCTTTTAAGCAAACATGGAGCAGCTTTGGGACTGATCCAGCACAAGTGTATGTGGAAGTGGGTTTGATTGCACTTCTTCCATGTGTGAGGTCTCAGAAAAAGCGTGTCCATGGCAACACTATTTGATGTGTGTTGACTTCCTCTCCCTCTTTTAGGTAATGTACTTCAGCTCTCTGTTCCCGTATGTGGTGCTCTTCTGTTTCCTGATACGAGGGTTGCTGCTGAAGGGTGCGGTGGACGGCATAGCTCACATGTTTACTCCCAAGGTGAGAGAGATTAGGCAGTTTTTTTTTCCTATCAAAGGAGCTATCAGCATATAGAAACTCTGGGATGGATTATACTTGATGAACTAGAGGGGTTTAAAACATTTTAAACAACAGAGATGAGAATTTCTTGCTTAAAGCAGAGAAAAAATAACCTCCCAAGCAGGGAGTAAGGTCACAACACAACACTGGTCAACATCTCTAATAGTTCAAGCACCACTCATTAAGATCCAATTACATGAAAATGTCAGCACTACATAGATTATAGATGAGCGGTGTCTCCATCTAGTGGTCAATGTTCACTGAAAAAACAGCACCAAAAAGCTTAAGAATGCAACTACATATTTGTAAGTCAATCATTTTAAATAGAGTCTGTCATTCAACATTCTCTGGGAATATTTGGGGAAAGTATTTCATTTGTGGATTTCGTGTTTTATTTTTGCTTTTTTGTGTGTTGTTTTTTCAAAAATTTACCATTGGAAAGATTTTAAAAAGTGTGCTAAAAAAACATATAGCGTAAAGAAATGTACTGTATTAATTTTCTTTTGCTATATTTTGAGACAAGATAAGAAATACATTTGGTTTCAGAGGAAATTATATAATTCAATTGTCATTACTGATAATTGAGCAGGAAGTTGGACTTATTTTTTAATTTCTCTAGTAAAAATGTTTTCAGAATAAATCTCCATGATTAAGCACATAATTCTGGGTTAGATTTGATCTTTTAAAACCTTCCAAATAATATAAATGCCATGAATACCACCTCTACATAATGTTGTTATAATGTTGTTGAATGTTTTTTGCAACATAAAACTCAGTTTTACTATATAACTATATATATATACATAAATATCTATAATATCTTTATCTATCTATATAACTCTTTCTATTTACCTGCCTATCTATATATGTATATTGTAATATATATATATATATATATATATATATATATATATATATATATATATATATATATATATATATATGACTAAATATGTATATATATATATATATATATATATATTAAGCAACTGGATAGCTCGGTAACATCGACGACTCCGGCACAGATGACCGGGGTTCGATTCCCGGCATGGACATCCAGGTGGACCCTTAGGCAAGGTCCTTTGTGCTTAGTGGCCTACCTCAGGCATGACTGAAACCGCAAATACAAGAGCCATACCGGCTCGGACGTCGCCCGGGTTAACAAGGTCCTTGTCAGTTGCTAGGGAACCAGGGCAACTTGATGACAAATTGGCTACTGGAACAAGACATAGATGGACTAGATACCAGAAAACTTGGTACTGATGAAATGCTACTATAGAAGCGTCCCCAGTGAGAGAGGTTACATGCAGAGACTATGGGAATTATGGCAGCTCCAACAACCATTGTCATCATTGACAAAGAATGTCAATGATTGTCATCATTGACAAAGAAACAACTACTAACTCAGTGTTCTAACATCCGCACACGGCAGCTCCTATCACAGCTAGAAATTGACGAGGTACAACTGACATGCTGCGGCAAGGGGGAGTCAGGACAACAGGTCAGTAGGGAAATATCATCATCCCAACACACAGAGATTGGGTCCCCAGCCCCAACAACAACAAGCCCACTAAACGTAAGGGCAGCTGACCTGCGACAGCAGATCATAACGAAACTGGATCCCCTAGTACGACGTCCAAGAAAGAGTGGCAGGTATGAAGAGCTGGACAGCACCAGGCCCTGACATGATCCACACCTACTGGCTGAAAAAACTAACCGCACTTCACGCACGCCTCGCAGCACAAATGAACCAACTGCTGATGGATGGGACCCACCCAGAATGGTTAACCCAAGGATGGACAATCCTGATCATGAAGGATCCGCAGAAGGGAACAACCCCATCCAACTACCGGCCAATAACTTGCCTATGTACAACATGGAAGCTCCTGTCAGGCATCATAGCGGCTAAGATGAATAGGCACATGGCTCAATACATGCACCCTTCCCAGAAGGGAATAGGCAGCAACACCAGAGGAGCCAAACACCAGCTACTAGTGGATAGAGCAGTCACCCGAGACTGTAAGACCAGGCAGACAAATCTGTGCACTGCCTGGATCGACTATAAGAAAGCCTATGACTCAATGCCACATACATGGATACTGGAATGCCTGGAAATGTACAAGATCAACAGGACTCTAAGAAGAACTCAATGAAGCTGTGGAAAACAAGTCTGGAAGCCAATGCAAAGCCAATTGCACAAGTCACCATCAAGTGCGGCATATACCAGGGTGATGCACTATCCCCGCTGCTGTTCTGCATAGGCCTGAACCCCCTCAGCCAGATCATCACAAAGACTGGCTACGGATACCAATTCCGAAGCGGAACAATCATCAGTCACATCCTCTACATGGATGACATCAAGCTGTATGCCAGGAGTGAGCAAGACATCGACTCACTGATCCACACTACCAGGATCTACAGCAACGACATTGGGATGTCTTTCGGACTGGACAAGTGCGGTCGCATGGTCTCAAAGAGAGGGAAGATGATCAGAACCGAGGGGGTTGAACTACCAGAAGGCCACATAACAGATGTTCAGGACAGCTACAAATACCTTGGGGTGCCACAGGCTAACGGAAACCACGAGGAGATGGCAAGAAAGACTGCCACAGCTAAATACCTACAAAGAGTAAGGCAGGTCCTGAAAAGTCAGCTGAATGGGAAAAACAAGATCCAAGCCATCAACACATATGCCCTACCACTCATCAGATACCCCGCTGGTATAATAAACTGGCCAAAGGAGGAGATAGAGGCTACTGACATCAAGACGAGAAAGCTCCTCACAATGCATGGAGGGTTCCACCCCAAATCCAGCACTCTGAGACTGTACACCAAGCGTAGCGAGGGAGGCCGAGGGCTAGTGAGTGTCAAGACCACTGTCCAGGATGAAACAACTAAGATCCAGGAGTACATCAGAAAGATGGCCCCCAAAGACAAATGGCTCGGTGAGTACCTCAGGCAGGAGAAAACCGAAAGTGAGGACAAGAAAGAGGAAGGGGAACCATCATGGAGGGACAAGCCGCTGCACGGCGTATACCACAGACAAATAGAAGAAGTGGCTGATATCAAAAAATCCTACCAGTGGCTGGAAAAGGCTGGACTGAAGGACAGCACAGAGGCACTAATCATGGCAGCACAAGAACAGGCACTCAGTACAAGATCAATAGAGGCCAGGGTCTACCACACCAGGCAGGACCCCCGATGCAGACTGTGCAAAGATGCCTCTGAAACAATACAGCACATAACAGCAGGGTGTAAAATGCAGGCAGGAAGTGCATACATGGAACGCCACAACCAGGTAGCTGTCATAGTGTACAGGAACATCTGCCATGAGTATGGGCTGGAAGTCCCAAGGTCAAAATGGAAGACTCCTCCTAAGGTAGTTGAGAATGACCGAGCTAAGATCCTATTGGACTGCAAGATCCAGACTGACAAACAGGTGATGGCTAACCAACCAGACATCGTGTTGATGGACAAACAGCAGAAGAAGGCAGTAGTGATAGATGTGGCAATCCCAAGCGACAGCAACATCAAGAAGAAAGAACACGAGAAGCTTGAGAAATACCAAGGACTGAAGGAGGAGCTAGAAAAGATGTGGAAAGTGAGAGCAGCAGTGGTGCCAGTGGTAATTGGAGCACTGGGGGCTGTGACCCCCAAACTGGGAGAGTGGCTACAGCAGATTCCAGGTAAAACATCAGAGGTCTCTGTCCAGAAGAGCGCAGTCCTAGGAACAGCTAAGATACTGCGCAGAACCCTCAAACTCCCAGGCCTCTGGTAGAGGACCCGAGCTTGAGGATGACACATACCACCCCACGAGGGGTGAGAAAACAGTTTTTTTTTATTTATATATATATATATATATATATATATATATATATATATATATATATATATATATATATATATATATATATATATATATATATATATATAATATTCAAATACATTATCTAAAGCTGGTATTCATGAAATCTTTGATCTCAATTATAATGCAACCGCTTTGGAAGCTTTCTTAATCATATTTAGTTACTTTACCACAATTGTCCTACCCTGCTAACATGAAACAATTGTGTTAAATTAACTAAATTTGATTAAGTAAACGCCAGAAATGGTTGCACTACTTTTTTCTGTGTATATAAGTTTCTAACTGCCATTGGAAACGTTTGACTACATCAGTAAATGCGAATGAACATTGTCTTTATGTTGATATATTTTCCAAACCAGCTGGAAAAGATGTTGGAGCCACAGGTGTGGAGAGAAGCAGCTACCCAGGTCTTCTTCGCCCTTGGCCTTGGCTTCGGAGGCGTCATTGCGTTCTCTAGCTACAATAAGAGAGATAACAACTGCCACTTCGATGCAACACTGGTTTCTACCATCAATTTTGTCACCTCCATCTTGGCCACTTTGGTGGTGTTTGCTGTACTTGGCTTTAAAGCTAACATCATGAATGAGAAGTGTGTTGTCGAGTGAGTATGTCTCACAGAAACAGTTGCTCTTCATCAGATGTAGTTTTTTTCCTTCTTATATTAACTAACATGTCTACTTTTTTCCTTACCAGAAATGCAGAGAAGATCCTGGGTTACCTGGAAAAAGGTGTGCTGAGCAGAGATCTAGTTCCTCCTCATGTCAACTTCTCCCAGCTGACAGCACAGGACTACTCGGAAATGTATGGCGTCATCAAGACGGTGAAGGAGGACAGCTTTGGCCAGCTGGGTCTGGACCCCTGTATCTTGGAGGACGAACTTAATAAGGTTATTTTTAAATTATGCTGATCCTGGAACAGTTCAAAGAAGTAGAGAAGCAGAAATTAGGATTATTAAGTCAACGTCTTTGTTGTGAATGTATCTTTTAATTGCCTTCAGTTGTTTTGTTTTTCTTTAAGGTATTTGAAATTCAGAAAAGTATTTCAGATTGATATTGTCACTTTGGTGAATTATCTTAGTTAAAATAATTAATGAACTGATAGATACAGTATTTTTTTGCTTCTGTGACCATCTCCACCTTCTTTCTCCCTTTAAGGCGGTTCAGGGTACCGGCCTTGCCTTTATCGCCTTCACAGAGGCCATGACACACTTCCCTGCCAGTCCATGCTGGTCTGTCATGTTTTTCTTCATGCTGATCAACTTGGGACTGGGAAGCATGATCGGAACCATGACTGGAATAACTACACCCATATTGGATGCCTTCAAGATCCGCAAGGAGATCCTGTGTGGTAAGTCCTGATTCTTGTCTTCCAGGTCTTTTACATTGTAAAAATTAGAATGAGGGATCAGATTTTCACTCAATCTTTCTCTGTTATGTCTCCTTCAGTGGTTTGTTGCATAATAGCCTTCCTGCTGGGCTTGCTGTTTGTTCAGCGTTCAGGGAACTACTTTGTCACCATGTTCGATGACTACTCTGCTGGTTTGCCACTCACTGTGGTTGTGATCCTAGAGAACATCTCTGTCGCCTGGATATACGGCACTAAGAGGTAACATGGCTAGAAATAGTTATTTGGACGTTTGTGTTGTTAGAAGAAAATAGGAAAAATAGATCTTAAGCTGTCGTACAAAAACCTATTGCATCAATCACCTCTAAGTATTGGTAAAAAAAATATTTTCATAAAATAAGAGCAGATCTACGATGGCGCAGAAGTACAAACCACATCAACAAGTAAAAATTTTAAAAACGCAACAACATTTTCAGAAACTCAGCCACATATTAAAAAACACAACATAATTTTCAGAATCACAATGACATTAGCCTACTGGAAGAGGTAGATCTTAATGTGAAACCGGAGAGCTCGCTACCTGGACGACGCCTTTTCGGTTCAAACGTTGAATAAGTGAGCATGCTGTAAGCAGAATGACTTCCTGTTTAAAAGCCAAATGGTGTCCAGTCAGCGAGGTCTCATTTTTCAAGTCAATGCCATTGCATTTTGAATATTATGTTTTGTTTCTAAATATTTAGTTTCATTTTGAATATGAATATGTAATATGTCTGATTTTTTATTTGTATATATAAAAAAATCTGTCACAACTAAATTACAGTTAAAAAAAAAGTCACTTGAGGTAGAAGAATATTTCTCTTACAAAATCTCTATGAAACATTGTCTAATCCCACTGTCTCCAATCTTCCTTTGTACTCAGATTCATGCAGGACCTTGAGGACATGCTTGGTTTCAGGCCATACAGTTTCTACTACTACATGTGGAGATATGTGTCCCCAGCTGTCCTGGTGGTGCTCATTGTTGCAACAGTCATTGAGATGTCAGTCAATCCTGCAGGATACAATGCATGGGTGGAAGAGGAGGTCAGTTTCTCCTGGATGTCTGTGTCGCTTTTTTAGTATTATTATACAGAGAGTAGATAAAATTTGGAAAAGGGTAGAACAATAATGAAAACATGACCATTTTCATAGAATTGTATTAAACTCATTACCAATGTTTTCTGCTATACATCTATGAGCTTGTTGTCAAAACGATACTCATATATATTTATATCTATATATCATATCATATATATATATATATATATATATATATATATATATATATATATATATATATATATATATATATATATATACATCTCTGCTGATAAACAGTATATGTAAAATCCTGGGAGATATATATATATCTATATATATCTATATAGATATACAGGTGCTGGTCATAAAATTAGAATATCATGAAAAAGTGGATTGATTTCAGTAATTCCATTTAAAAAGTGAAACTTGTATATTATATTCATACATTACATACAAACTCATATATTTCAGATGTTTATTTTGTTTAATTTTGATGATTACAAATGACAACAAATGAAAATCTCAAATTCATCATATCAGAAAATTAGAATATTGTGAAAAGGTTCAAAATTGATGGCCCCTGGTGCCACACTCTAATCAGCTAATTAACTCAAACCACCTGCAAAAGCCTTTAAATGGTCTTTCAGTCTAGTTCTATAGGCTACACAATCATGGGGAAGACTGCTGACTTGACAGTTGTCCAAAAGACGACCATCGACACCTTGCACAAGGAGGGCAAGACACAAAAGGTCATCGCTAAAGAGGCTGGCTGTTCACAGAGCTCAGTGTCCAAGCACATTAATAGAGAGGCGAAGGGAAGGAAAAGATGTGGTCGAAAAAAGTGTACAAGCAAGAGAGATAACCGCACCCTGGAGAGGATTGTGAAACAAAACCCATTCAAAAATGTGGGGGAGATTCACAAAGAGTGGACTGCAGCTGGAGTGAGTGCTTCAAGAACTACCACACACAGACGTATGAAAGACATGGGTTTCTGCTGTCGCATTCCTTGTGTCAAGCCACTCTTGAACCACAGACAGCGTCAGAAGCGTCTTGCCTGGGCTAAAGAGAAACAGGACTGGACTGCTGGTGAGTGGTCCAAAGTCATGTTCTCTGATGAAAGTAAATTTTGCATTTCCTTTGGAAATCAAGGTCCCAGAGTCTGGAGGAAAAGAAGAGAGGCACTTCATCCACGTTGCTTGAAGTCCAGTGTAAAGTTTCCACAGTCAGTGATGGTTTGGGGTGCCATGTCATCTGCTGGTGTTGGTCCATTGTGTTTTCTGAGGTCCAGGGTCAACGCAGCCACATACCAGGAAGTTTTAGAGCACTTCATGCTTCCTGCAGCTGACCAACTTTTTGGAGATGCAGATTTCATTTTCCAACAGGACTTGGCACCTGCACACAGTGCCAAAGCTACCAGTACCTGGTTGAAGGACCATGGTATCCCTGTTCTTAATTGGCCAGCAAACTCTCCTGACCTTAACCCCATAGAAAATCTATGGGGTATTGTGAAGAAGAAGATGCAATACACCAGACCCAACAATTCAGAAGAGCTAAAAGCCACTATTAGAGCAACCTGGGCTATCATAACACCTGAGCAGTGCCACAGACTGATCGACTCCATGCCACGCCGCATTGCTGCAGTAATACAGGCCAAAGGAGGCCCAACTAAATACTGAGTGCTGTACATGCTCATACTTTTCATGTTCATACTTTTCAGTTGGCCAACATTTCTATAAATCCTTTGTTTTTATTGGTCTTCAGTAATATTCTAATTTTCTGATATGATGAATTTGAGATTTTCATTTGTTGTCATTTGTAATCATCAAAATTAAACAAAATAAACATCTGAAATATATGAGTTTGTATGTAATGTATGAATATAATATACAAGTTTCACTTTTTAAATGGAATTACTGAAATCAATCTACTTTTTCATGATATTCTAATTTTATGACCAGCACCTGTATATAGATATATATATATATATCTATATATATATATATATATATATATATATATATATATATATATATATATATATATATATATATATATATATACACATCTCCCAGGATTTTACATATACTGTTTATCAGCAGAATTTTTCCTAATGATGAAGGTAAACCCATAAAATAAAATGGGTTTGCATTTATGCTCGTTTTAGGAATGCAAACCTTGTTTTAAGCTGAATAGTAAATCAGCTTTGTGTGTGCTATCAATTTTGCGGGTACTACATACGCAAACCTTACGTAGCCATACTCACCATGGGGGGTCAATATTCCTATTTGATTGTGTATGTATATTTTGTCTAAACATCATTTTCAGATGACAATGTGGATTTTAACCAGAAACCTGTTTTACTGTTACTCTTTCCTGTTAAGGGCTCAGAGCGTTTCCACAGCTACCCTCCATGGGCGTTAGCCATGGCATACTCCCTCATCGTGGTTGCCATGCTGCCTTTGCCAATAGTCTTCATTGCCCGCCAATTTAACTTGGTCTCAGACGGCTCCAACAAGCTCTCGGTTTCCTATCGCAAGGGCATGATGAAGGATATCTCCAACCTGGAGGAGCAGGATGAGCAGCGCTTCATCCTCGGAAAGAATCCCAGTGAGGCTCCCTCCCCCATGCCCGCCCACCGGGCATATCTTGGGCCTGGTGGCACCCAGGAGATGACCAACACCAATTATGGCACCTCCACCAAGACGGGATACCAAAACATTGGCTCTCCTGAGTCTGAGCTATGATCTAATGAGCTTCAATGTTTTCATTCCTATTACAAAAACCCAACTCAGCTAGAAGAGAATTAAAGCAGGTGAAGAAAACTTTAATACAGCATTCCTTACAGCTTAACCTCTAGAGAGAAAACCCTCCAATTTCTCCTTTTTCGGCTTCATTACTAATTTGCAGTAGTTCTTTATGTTTTTGCAAGTAACTGACAGCAGTGAGCAATACATTACAATCAGCATTTCTGTTTTTATCGAAAGCATTATTGGGTCTGAATTAGAGAAAATGATATACAAATGTATAATTGTTATAGGATATTTTGGTGGGACAGATCATGCATAGAGATGCACTAAAAAAATCTGAATTAACAGTAATGGCCAAGTTTGTGCACAGAAACAAGGAATCTGACTTTCCATTGCTCACAACTTAATCAATCACAGTATGTAAAAATCAGGTTTCGATCTGCCAGTCAGGAAACCAAAGGGCCTCATGCTAAGCTTGATGCTTTGTTTGAGGAGACTATTCAATATAAGAATGTTCTTATAACTTTTTATCTGCAAGAAAGCGAAATTTCAGAAGATTCCTTGATTTAGAATACTGTTATTTAATTCTTGTTATCTTTCAAACTCTGTCTCTCCTGAAACATGTCAATGCAACCCTAATGTGAAATATTGAGAATTTTGAGAATTTTACTGTTAACAGTATATAATTCCTAGAATATTCAGAAAAGGTTGACTTTTTTTCTCATGCTAGCGCCAGTATTTTCTAACATCTTCAAATATCCGAGCAGAAATGCACCAAAAAACTCTCTCTGAGGTTAAATGTTTGGCAATGCCACAATGCTTTGGCAAGTAAACAATCAAATTGCTCTGGGTGATCAGTTTATACTTCTGCTTATTTCATTCAAGAGAGGCTGTGGGAATAGGATTGCAGAAGACTAAGAAGAATCAATCATACTTCATCTTATCAATACCAGAAACCTTTTCATCCAGTCAATAACTGACCAAGCGTACATCTACAACAATATGTACTTTGAGATTATTTACAAGCACATTCTATATTTTTATTTGTGTGTGCCTATCATGCATCAGCAATAATGCCAGTGCTCATAAAATCACGGATCTCCTTTTAGCTCTCTTTTCCCCTCTAATGTACATTAGAACACTGTATATATATATATATATATCTATATATATATAGATATATATATAGATGTTGGGCAATAGGTTGAGACACCACCATGCGTACACACTGCAATAGAGAAGAAAAAGAGGTTACCTCTGTCCCTCATCATTTCCACAAGCACAGGACCACAGACACCTATGTTTAGAGAATCTCTGAGCCTTAACACTTGTCTTTGAACTTATGTTCCTCATTAATTGTGACAGAAAGCTAAGTTTGCCTGTGCAGGGCATGTTTTATACGGAGGCAGACATAGAAGAAAGCTTGGTTAATATAAGCAGATGAGCAAGTCTGAGTGCTGTCCGCTGCTGAATAAGAGCTCCTGGCTTACCTGCCTGTTTAAAAATAGAGCAGCGTTACCCAGGGGAAGCCGTGGCAACATGCACCATAGAAACAGATTCTGTTCTGATGTGGAGGAGGAGGAGGAGAGTAGCAGACACCTTGTTTTGTCTGCTCCACCTGCACATCTATTCATACCCCACTTACAATTCTCACCAGTGTTGCTAAAAGGACTGAATATATGTGGTTCACTGCTATACCTCTGTGGACCAGTACTTCATCCCTGGGAAGATGATCTTTGGGTTTAGGTTTTGTACATTCCTCTAATAGTGACCACAGCACTCAAGCTATACTTTCTGTTATCCAAAGTGTAAAAACAAAGCTTTTTTTATTCTAACTTCTAATCCTGAAAGACAGTGGCAATGTAACGTGATATTAATGTTTTGAATAAGTGATAGTACCTGGGTTTGGCCACTAGATGTATCTGCTGCCTAGCAGAGGATCCAGTGGTGTAATTTTATCTGTGGCCCCTCCCTGTTAGAGCACCAATACCTGAAACTGCCACCAGAAATGGATAAAAGCAAAACATAAAACTAATAAAAAATGTTTGGAAAAAAAAAAAAAAAGAAATGGATAAAAGCAGAATCACATTGTGTGGTGCCTGAGCAGCATCTGTGTTGTCTGCCTTATGCTTTTGTCATTTGATCACTGTTTGCTTTGTAGTTTGTTTGCACTGATGTTTTGTCTTGTTCACACAAGCACTTTAATTAGATTCAGACCCTGGAGTTGTTTGTTAAGCACAAATGTGAGGAAAACATGTTTCAGGAAAAGAAAAAAATATATATATAAATGAGATATATAAAGAAATAGATTTATGAATGTTATCTACATGCACAGGCAACCTTACACTTTTCCGTGTCTACTGATTTCACATTTGGGAATCTGTGCAATACAGTTATCTGGAGTTAAAATATTCTGTCATATAATAGCTTTAACTCCATTTTGAGCCAGTTTCTGAAACTTGCGCATAAAGGGGTGATGTGAATGCAACATTTCCATGGACTTCAAGCCCTTTATCACATTAAAACACCCAAAGCAGCAAAATTCCAAAAACAACCCCAAGATTTTCTTTATCTTTAGCTTTTGTAGAGTTAAATAACAATGCACTTTTACAAATAGTAAAGGCACTTATTACATTTCCTCACTATTCCTTCTCTTGGAATGTCTTATTAAACTTTTTAAAGATTTTAATGTCTAAGTTAAAATTGCATGGCAGACGTTTTACCAATGACACATAACCTGAAATAATAGCACATATTTTATAAATCTGCAGCTTCAGCTGGAGGTCAAAGCACATTTTAGGATAGCACAACTAGAAGCATGGACGGTAATGTCATGTTGAATAAAATGTTAAGTTGAACTTTTGATCCCATAGCCACAGGATGGTGGTTGATGAACGAACATCTCGTCTACTTAAATCCAGGATCCTACAAAACATTAAGCACACATCTGCACAATAAAACACACTGCCATCAATAAAAGTAACAGAACTGCCATAAAACATTTTATCTGCAGACAGAGACATCGATTAGAGCACAATCCTAGTTACCTGCCAGAGTTTATGGTATTATAACTGATGATCTATGTAGATTTTGCCTTAAAATTTACAAAGATGATGACTCAGGCAGGAAAAAGCTATTATCACTTGGCTATGATTAGTATGATTGAAAACAAACACCCCAGGGTCTTTTTGTCTTATCCACATGTCCGCTGTGTCACAAGCATCTTCTGGAATTTATCTCAGCTTAGTCAACAACATGAGCTTGACAAAGTACCAGTAAATCTATTTAAATGTGCAAATAGTCTTTATGTGACCAAACATAGTTATATTTATAGTATTTAAGACGATGTATTTAACCTGTAAATATTGATGTATATTCTGATAAATTCACACTGAGTATATATGTAGTACGAGTGACAGGGTGTATACTTGAGCTGTAAATAATAATTGTATATTTTTCAGATATTTTTTTGTACTGTCAGTACTGTTACATTGGTATCTGTTGGTTTCAGGTGTTTTTATGTGATTGTTGTTCATGATAATAACCGAGAGAGCCTGTGTGTCTGTGTGTGCAACAGGGAGCATCTGTTTGAAGTGAAAATATGTATTGGTTTTCGGTGTTTCGCTCTGTGTTTTTCTCCTCTTTCAGTGTTGTGTGCCAGTACATGAAAACAAATGTTGCTGTTGAGTGGGACCACTAACGTTTCAGCAATCTCTTCTCTCTGTCTTTCTCTCGAACAGTGATAGAATCCAGTGCAAAACTTACAACGCAATCAGGAAGACATGTATGACTGTAACAATAAAACAGGAACTATTTTGGTGAATAGAGTGACAGTGTAAAAAGAATACACTCTGGTATGAAGAGGAATTAAAATAACCACTTTTATTGATAAGAGCGTTGTGTGTCTTTTATTCTAATGTGTAAACATGAGTTTACTTAAAAGTACAAAGAAGACATTAAAAAGGGGAATTTCAATCGTATCTTGTTTCGATGATAGATAAGCATATTTCATTTCTTTAACCAACAGTAAAAACAGATCTTTCATGGAAACATGTTTTGACTAAATGAGGATTAGTAAAACTTTTACTATTTCCTAATGAACAAAATAATGACATTTTTTTTTTCAAAAAGTTTAGAAGATTTGTGAAAATACCTTTTTCTGTGAACAATTTGCCTACGTTCTCCTTGAGACTGTAATGACAGCCTTGTGATGCCTATTCAACAATTTGGTTTGTTTACTAACAGTCTTTTAAAATAACTGTTAAAGAAAGATAATAGCAATATACAGACCTATTTACACAACCCTGTAGAATAGAATAGAATAGAATTGAATAGAATAGAATAGGTAGCCTAGGATAGAATAGCATATAATAGAATATAATTGCATTGAACAGTATAGCATTGAATAGAATAGATTAGAATATGTTTATTGTACCACAGAGACAAAAACAAGTAGGAGAGGGGTTACAGACATGTGTAAATGAATTTTTAGATCTTAACCATTAAAGTTAAAACTACAGCAGAAGAGAAAAAACATTATAAATAGTCTGGTTCCTATTTATAACATGTTACACCTTTCTGGAACATGTATAACCACAGTTTGTCTTTGTTAAAAGGTTGGTATAATAACTTTTTTGTATTTAAAAGCTATTTTTAATGCCGTTACAGGCACACTTCTTCTATTGTAGTGATATTATTGGTCACAAGTGTGTTTAGTATGTGCCAAACACCACACTTCCTTTTTTGACTATTATGATCTTTAGTGGAGAAAAGTGTACCGGTATATCCTGTGAGCATCCTGTAAAGAAAGCTTCTCCATCACACAAAGGTTTCACAAACAGGCTGCATTGACCTGAAAAAGCCCAGAGAGAAGGGGGGAGTAGGAAGAGAACACCTGCAGCTTCTTTCACAGATATTTATCTCACAACAACACTCACAGCTGCAGCGGCTGCTTCCTAAATGTTCACCGCTTCCTCACATCTTCTAAGAAAAGACTCTCGATGGTAAGCTTTCACACTTCAAGTAGCACTTCCCAATCAACAGTGTGCTTGTAGGCTGAGATCCATTAGTATTTTTTTAATGTCGCTTCTTCTGCTGTTGTTTTTTTCCTCAGCATAGCCAAGTCATCCCATGTGAAGCATGATGAGAGCGCTAACCATCAGTGTTTGACCAATAAGCAAATCCGAAATCAAAGGGCTTTACCAGTAAAGCACCAAAAATGAACTTGATAAACAAAGTTTAACCTTTTTTTATTTGAATACATCTTCTCACACAATGCAGCACATTATGAAAAATTATTGAAACAATAAAATATTATTTATATGAATTATAACAAAACAGGAAAACATATAGTTAATAACAAGCAGCACTGAAAAGAATCCCCTGAAACATTTTACATTCTTAATTGCAATTTATTTTGAGGATTTACTTAGAATGCTCTTATATTCATTCCCAATAGAGATAACTAAAATCACTGCAGCTTTACACCAGTTACACACATTTAGAATATCAGTACTCAGCATTTTTATGGATGTGTGATCTAATAAAACATTATGCATTCAGTTTGGTGTGCTTCTGATTGTTAACATTTGAGTGAACCGTATACTGAAACTGTTTCACATTGAGCACAACATTGTTGAGTCTCACACTCTTAATAATTTATTGAGATCTAAGAACAATTATTGTAAGTTAATTTAATTTGTTTGGGGATTTTTTTTTCGCAAGAGGATGAAGTAAAAGTTCTGCACAGCTGTAATAAAATGAAATTTTGTTTTGAATATACTCTGTGTATACTAAATGACAATAACAGTTGTCTAAGTCTAATGGCTTCAAGTCAGATTTTGTCGCCTGGAGGAAAAAAACTATAGAAACTATGCTCATAAAGGGAAGTTAGGAAACTCACACAAATGTCAAAATAAAACCAACCATTTACAGAAAGAGATTGCTGAAAAATAATCTATTTTTACAGAAGAGTAAAGTGGATTTATGGTGCTCTAATTTTGCAACTGTGTTGAATTTTGCTCATACCTAATTCATACAGAACCATAATCATAAATAAAAGAAGAGCCAAGCCGGAACTTTAGCAGTTGATTCAAACTAAACATCCTTTGTACTCAATGCACCTTGCCTTCCGAGTTCCAATTAAATCGATGGGATTCAGGACAC